TCAGTGCTTGGGCTGCTGTTGTGCCTCTTGGACCTTCAGACTTTTTGCAGAGCTTAAGGGTGGTGGGAGTTGTATGCCAAATTTGGAGTTCAGTCCTGCTCTTGGGTCAATGCGTACTCCTGCACGAGAGTCCAGTCACATGAGAAAGCTTTTTCTGTTTTGTTTATCTGATCTTGATCAAGAGGTGGGAAGCAGAGAGAGCAGTTGTGTCAGCAAGATGGTGTCTCATTCACTCATTTAATAGCGGCAGCCTCTGTAACTGGATTTTGCAAACACGTCCATGAGCGTGGTCAGTCTGCAGCCCACCAGGCTCTGGTGGCTGAATGTGCGATTAGGCATTGCTGACGGCGAGGTGCTCTGCCTAACCCCGGTGGCATTGCTGGAGCCCAGTCTCAGGTTTGGTCTGTTCCTTTAACTCATGCCGTGCAAGACCTCTTGGTGCCCTGGAGAGCAGTACGAGGTGCCTTGCCAGTGCCCTCCTTTAGGACCTCAATCTAGCTTACGCTCCTGGCCTCGGGAAAGCCACAATGTTCGCGTGACACCCAGCTCCCTGGTGGCAGAGCTGTGCTGCCGGGACGAAGCATGGAAAGCAGCCGTGTGGTATTTGGAGGCCTATTTATCCTGTAGGCTGCTCTACTCCTAGGAAAGAGGCAAGAGCATGGGATTCAGCATCACTTAAATATTGATCCCTGCTGCTCTGGAGGGTTTTGGTGCCTGTGCAGAGTTTTGCTTGCAGTCCCTGGGCTATGGTTAGCGCAGTATGTCAGGCTGAGCCAAAGTCCTCAAAGAATGTGCATTTCCACAGCTTTGTGTCTCTGTTGGGTGTGGATACAGCCTTGGTGAAGCACAGGGGATATTTTGGAGCAGAAAGTGCCCCTGGTGCACTGAAACTGCTGGGTTGCGGCAGGGGTGAAGCACAAAAGGAGAACAGCATATCCAAAACCAGCTGGAAAGTAAGATCCTCAGCAGGGATTGGGCCATGACACCCTAGCTGCTGTGAACACTGCTACTTATCAGAGTTGCATCCCCAAGCACCCCTCCCAAAATGGAGACAGACCTGTCTGATCCCTAGTAACAGTGGCAGTGTCTCAGCTGCTGGGCTGGGGAGCAGCTTGCAGTGACTGTTGGTGGGGCACTGCTTGCTCCCTGGGCCCCCAGGTCTCTTTGGCTGGTCGTATTCATGGCACAAGCGCTGCTGCGGCTGCTGAGCAAGGCTCAGGGCTGCCGACCCCCACTCTGCCCAAAGCGTGCTGGACGGGCAAGGGGCTGGGGGCTGGGGAAACTCCCTTTGCAACCATCTGCTGCTGCATCTCATATTTAATTTCATTTCCTTTTCTCTTCCACTTCAGCGGCAATGCTGCGGAGTGCAGGCGAGCGGCTGCCCAGGGACGCGGCTCTGCCAGCTGGGCTGGCTGAGCAGGCACGAGGGGCTGGCTGGCCTTTCTGAGCGCCTGCCTGGCAACACGGCCAGGCGTGCTGAGAGAGGCAGGCTTCTGCGGAGAGGCCATGGGGGGATCTCTGTCTCCTTGCCCCTAAAATTTGCCATCCTGGTTCTTTACCCATTTTGCCTCTGGTCCCAGGTAGCCTTTTTCCATGGCTGACTCATCCATGGAGGATCTCTGATGCTGGCTGTTGAACTTTGCATGTTGAAAGGCTGCAACCTCCCTCTCCCCCCAAAACCTGCCAGGCAAGGGTGGATTGGCTTGACAGCTCCTGCTGTGAGCCGTTACCCAGTGTTGTATCCCCTACTCTTGCAGGGGGATTAGCGTGCAGGTTGCTTTGTGGCTGCCCTGCTGCTGAATCTGCCATCTGTCTTACCACATCCTTCAGGAGATGCTGCCTGTCCCAGCCCCCGGCTTTCTCTCCTCCTGATCCCTCGTTGCTTTCTCAGCCTGTCCTTTGTACGTGCCCAGATTTGACACTTCCTTCTCTGCCCTAAGGGAAATAAACCACGTCTTAAGGTTTTCTCAGTCACGTCCATCACTTCTGACCTCCCCCTCCCAGTAGCTGTGAGCAGCTGCTAACCGACAGGGATGGCAGGGGTAGAGCAGGAAGGAAGCGCAGGGTGGATGCGGGGGCAGCGCCAGCTCTGAGGCAGCTGGCACAGAGTGGAAATGTGTGCTGCCTCTCGCTGCCTCTCTCACCTGCCTTATGCATGTGTCAGAGAGGGATCCTGCGCTCTGGGCATTGCTGTGCGACTTGTCCCCCTTCTTGCTGGCTTGGGCTGCGATGACGTTCCCATCCCAACTGCCTTGTGATATCTCTCTGATGCTCCAGACCCTTTTGACTCTCCTCCTTGAAGGAGATTTGGAGAAAAAAGCTGCCTGATCCATGTGAGAGGCTGTCCGCTCTGCTTTCCAGCGGGTTCGTGGTTGAGGATCTGCTCGGCTGTGTCGCAGGCAAGGGGAATTCCCCTGGAGGCAAGCGTCAGCGATGGGGACAAGCTGTCTTCTCGGCACTTGCTGAGCATTCAGCATGCTGGGAAGAGGCTGGAACAGTAAGTGCTTTCCAGATCCACATGTCTGCGGCTTTGCGTGTGCCTGGGAGAGCCGCCTCCCTCCACAGCAGAAGCTTTCTTCTGATTTCCCCCCTGAAGGCTGCGTGGGCTGGAGAAGGCTGGTGGACCTGTGCCCTAGCAAGCAGCGGAGACCGAATGCATGCTTCATCCACTGCCTTATGGAAAAAGCAGAACTGTGCTGTCCAAGTCAGCTGTGCTGTGGAGGCAGGGTTTGCTGGGAGGGCAGCAGGTGAAGGCAGTGCAATCTGATGATAAGACTCTTGAGACTAGTTCAGTTCCTTCCTTCCTCCCATTCAACCAGGCCAAATTTGCTTGCGTATCTTCCCCAAAAGCCAGAGGGGAGGTGGCTCTCCTTCTAAATGCTCAAATACCCCTCTGTGCAGTACAGAGTCCCCTCACGCTGCAGGAGCGCAGTTAACTCGCCGCCGGCATGTAGGCTTTCTGACCTGGACGGTGGGGTACAGGGCACACTGGGTACTGGGCACAGCGAGCTCGCAGTGTGCATCCAGCCCCGGGTGCAGGTACAGCAAAGCTCCCACAGTGTGCGCCGGGTGGCAGAGTCCATGCTGACTTGGTGGGTCCTGCACCCTTGCCTCTGGATGGGTCCCCCGGGGACAGAGGTGGCAGAGCTAGGCCTTTGGGAGCACCTTCTCTTATTGCCCTCCCTTTCCAGGCTGCTGCATTCACCATCAAAGGCTTTCCCTTCCTTTCGATGCACTATTAACTCAAACTGATAGACTGAGAGCTAATTCCTCCCTCTCAGGATGGGGAGGCTGGATGCGGCTAGCACAGCAACCGCCAAGGCGATCCCTGGTTGTGTAACCTGTTGGTGCCGAAGTTTTAGCTGAACTGTCAGCTCCCACGCTCTCAGGGCGCTGTGATTCATCCTGGTTGTCTGGTATTACCCAAATCTGCTTGGAAGCTGTGCAGAGGTGGGAGGAGACCCTCATCAGGGCCAGGTTTGGCAAGTGGTGTGCTTGTGGGCTCCTGCTGCAGGCCAAACCTCACTCTTTGTTCCTGGTGCTTAGCTTGTAAGGCACCAAGTACATGCAATTAAGAAAGTGTTCTAGCTCTGCAAATGTTCTAAAATCATATTTTATGTAAAAATAGATATATATATAGTGTTGTAATCCATTGCCCTCAAGAAGAAGCTTTTGTGCTTGGAAGGAGATGAGCTAAGAAGAGCAGAATTAGCTGCAGGGAGCATTGTGAAGGTTTGCGCCTCAGCAGAAAAGCTGGCAGAGCAGCTCAGGGGAGGAGATCTCCCCAGAAAGCAGTGTGGAGGGAAATGTGCAAGTGGTTCAAGGAGAAGTGGGCTAAACAGGGGACAAGTGTGATGTTACCCACCTTATCCTGGCCCCTAGATGGGTGTGGATGAGGATACTTGGTGGCAGGATGCTCCTGGGCCTTCTGGTGATATCTGTTAAGTGAGGAGCAGGTCTGAAGCCAGCATAAGCCTGCACAGTGCCAGGAGAGCTGTGACAGCCATGCTTGGGGCCAGAAGAATCTCCAGGACCAGGCAGGAAGCTCCCTGCTGCTGGCTCCACTCAGCCACAGTGTGTCTGCTAGTCAGGTGCATGGGCATCCACACAGCAGTAGCTGCGCTAGGTTAGGAGGAGCTGAGCTCTGTGCCCTGGGCAGAGAAATACCTTGCAGCCTCCCTCTGCCCTTGTAGGAGTGGCTGCTCTGCCTTCAGACGTCGGCTGCCAGGTGGGCCTCAGGCAGGGGCTGCCAGGCAGGCTCCACTGTGAGGTTGTGTGATTTTTGGGCTCAGCTGTCTTGGCACATGTGGCAGCAGCATGGCTGTTTTCGAGAGTGTGCTTAGATCTGTGGCTTGTCAGTGTGGTATCTGAACCTTGACGGGGCATGGAGGAGAAGGAAAGGGAGGGAAGGTGTCCTGGTGCATTGGGCAGTCTGGGCTGCTGCAGCCATGCTGTGTGCTGGAGCGGAGCTGGGACCAGCAGCATGGCCTGCCTGATGCCTGCTAGGCTGCTGCACACCCGTGCTCGCCCCTCGTCACACACCAGGCCTGCAGACGTCAGCTGTGAGGAGGGCTCTCTGGAGGTCAACAGCTGAAAGCAACCATGCAGGGGGCTTGAAACACAAGCGCTCTACCCCTGCCCCTGGGACAGCTGAGCCTTTGGTGGGGGCCAGGCTGTGGAGGCAGAGTGGGTCTGCCTGCAGCGTGGGTTGTGTTGCCCTGGGCTCCTGTGGCAATGAAGGTTTTCCAAAGCAGCATAGCCATCACCCCCTCAGCCATGCACCCTGGTGACAGGTACGCTGCATGTGGCTGTGGGGGGATTCGTACCCTGCTGCATCCTCCTTGAGTCCTACCAGCACAAAGGGATGCCAATGTCCTGGCAGTTCTCGAGCGGTCAGATCCAATGCGGGGCCCTGACAGACTGGATAATGAGCTACAAAAAGGAACTAGGGATGGGAGACAGGCCTGTGGAGCCCAGGGCTGTCCTCCCTAATGGGACAAGACCCAGCTGTCGAAGACCTCTATCTGGGCTCCTGGCCACAGTTTCCTGGTGGAGTGGGCCGTACTACGGTAGTAATTAGGCATCGGGGGCTCAGCTGGCTCTCTGCCCTTCCCTTGGCTGCCACATGTGCCTTGCCAGCCCCGCTCGGCAGCACACAGGGCAGCGAAGCTGTGAGAGTTGCCCGGTTTGAGCAGTGCAGTAGTGGGCTTTCCCCCCTTCATGCATAGGCTGAGTGTGTTTGTATGTGCACACGTGCCAAGTGCTCCCCTCGTCTTGCCTCTGCTCTGGGGTAAGTTTTCGCCTGCTTTCCTGAGAACCAGTGATAACCGTAGCTCTGCTGGAAAGGGCTGTGCTGGCAGTTCCCAGATGGATTGAAGTCTCTCTGCAGCAGGTGGTTTATAAAAGGCAGCATATAAAACTCCCACTCTCCTCTCCACCTCCCACAGCTCCCAGCTCCCCAAACAGCAAAAGAGACTTGGAGAGGAAAGAGCTGCTCTTCTGTCTTTTCCCTGTCTTCAGAGACCACAGTACTCCTGGTACCTTTTTGGCACTTGTGGAAAAAATAGCCTGTGACCTGCCCCAGTCTGTCTCTGGACCATGACATAGCTGCTCTTGGTTTACATATTGGTTTCCACGAGGGAGTGTTTTCCCCAGAAGAGATGGCCCTTTTGTTCACACAGTCCTTAAAATCTTCATCTGTTTGAGCACGTTTACCTCACCAGAGGAAGAAGCAATCTGCCTCTAAATGGCTGATGTCCTACCACCCACCCAGCCTTGCTGAGAGAGGCCTTCCTTGGCCTTTGATGCCAAACCAAAGCTGCTCTTGCCGGTTTGGGTCTGTTTGAACATAATGTGCTATGATGATGGAGTTAGTAGATGATGAGTAACTGAGAAACTGGAAACCCCTTTGAGTGAGAAATCGGAGACTTCACTCAGTCCCTCTTCCCTCACTGTTACCCTGACCCCGTGAGGTCCCTGAGCTATTCTCTGCAACCTCAGTGACCTGGGATAACTCCCTGCCCCTTTGCCATATGTGAGCCACCCAGGCCCTCCGTCCCCCACAGGCAGCCCTAGCTTTTGTCCTGGCTGTCTGTGCTCCCGGCCCTGACCCAAGGGCACCCCCATGGCTCTGCAGCCTGCGTTTCCCTGCCCTGCAGGACTGAGCTGTGCCTGACCCTGGTAATCCTTTGCGATGAACAGCATTGATTTAAGCATTATCAAAGTACAAGGGTGAACAATGCAGAATGAGTGACAGGGCCCTGCCGTAGGGAGCTTACAGCCTAATTAGCTAATGTTTGCTCAGTGCTTTGCACATGAGAAGTGCAGTGTAAGGGGCTAAGCGTTATTATTGTGAAAGCACAATGTGTGCACAGCAGGATATTGAAATATAAAACAAACACAGGTTAGAGCTAAACTGCAGTGGCAGCTTAGTCAAACATGGGGGAAAAGGGCTAGCGTGGAAATGGAAAAGCTCAGCTATGGTTGTTCCTTCCCAGCTGCTGGGTGCTCACACCAGCATCTGCTTGCTCATGTATGCATGGAGGAGGAGCTAGATAAGAGCTGCTCTGTGTACGGCATTTTCCCTGTGCTGGCCCAAACAGACCTCTCTGCTGGTAGATCTCATCATAAATACTGTTTGTTCTCGGTTGTCTGTGGTCTTCTGCAGCTCTCTAGGATTTGGCCCTATTCTCACGCTGAGAAGTGCTGCAAAGAGTGAATGCTGACCTGCCCGGTCCACACCTTCCCTCCAGGAGACATAGGTTTGTGCAAGTGGCTGCCAGGTTGCAGAGGAAGTCCACAAATGTAGTCATGCAAAGGCTCCTGCCAGAAGGCTAGGTGGTGGGAACGGCTCTCAGATCTTGCCCTCCGAATATGTCATATGCAGAGCTTAGTCTGTCCTAGTGTCAAAACCCAGCCATACCTGGATCCTGGTGGTGCTGGAAGAGGAGGGAAGGGCAGGGAGCTGGGAGCTGTTCAGCAACAGCTTCCAGGGGACGTGACAAGGGAGGATTTTGCCCCAAAGTGCTGTGTTGGCTTAAGGTGAGTCTCGGGCCTCTTCTCTCGGGGCAGAGTGACCCTGCACAGATTTTCTTAAATGTGATGGCAACCTGCCACTCCTCAGAGCAGAAAAAACATGTTTGACTCCCCTGAAATGAGGACGTGATCTCTCTCTCCTGATGGGTCAAGTAGTTTAGATGGTTTGTGTTGGCAGAGCTCATTGGGAGCAGGGAGTGAGGAGACGAGGGCAGGGAGGAAACGCAGTTTCTGTCCCAGGAACGTGCTCCTCCTGGGACTCTCGCCAGCTACGCTTTACCCCTTTTTAGCAGGAAGCCCCCAGAGAGCTGGTGGAGGGGACTTAGCAGCCGGGGATGTGGAGCGGTGGTGCTGGAGGAGGGATCGCTGCCAAGGGGAGGGAGCTCACATGCAGTATTCCCGTCTGCAGGGCCTGTGCAGGCTCACGGGGCCAACAGCTCCCACGCCTGTGATTGCGGCCGTTGCCTGCAGTGAGCCTGGCAGACGTCTGTGCCCCTTGTAGGAAAATCAGTGTAGGAAAACTCAGTGTGAAATCTTATGGAAGGGGAAGGTGATGTTATATTTACAAAATCTTTAAGCAGATTGATTTTCCATGCATGCTCTGACCCTTGTTCTTTCAGAGATGTCATTGGCTCCCACACTTGCAAGCCCACCCTCACATGCACCCCAACGTGTGTGCCTGGGCAGTCTGGCCAGGATCCCTTGTGGGAGATATAGGGGACAAAGGGCACCAACTATTGAATCCTTGTCACCTCTCTGAGGTTTGCCCCTTCATTGGCGATACTGAACTCATCTTTGAACAGGTCTTTGGAGCCCTTTAGGAGTCATCAGCTGCTACGGGGCGTCCCTTGCCTCTAAATCTTGTTGACTCCAGCCACCATAAACCTTAGGCCAGGTTGCTGCTCTTTTTTTTGGGTTTTTTTTTTTTGTTTTTGTTTTTCGGCTATATCTGTTTTCAAGGTGGGCTAAGAGGGACAGGATTGGTATATGTGCTATTTGAATCTGGTTGCTGTCCTGCTGGTGGTAGGATGCAGGGTCTTCTGCTGACGAGTTGTCTCTGCCATGGGCTTAGCAGAGTATGGTGTTTTGGGTCTTGGCATAAATAACACATTCCTCAATTTTATTGCTGGGGATAGTGTCCCGAGAATGGTGTCCTTAACATAGGCCACGCTTTTAACCCTTTGTTGTACTTTCCTTCTGGTGCTTCCCCTCACATTTCCGTTCATGCATACCATATTCACAACAGTGTTAATATTTCTGTTACAGATCTCTGCACAGTGTGTCAGCTCCCCTTTGGAGTCTGGCTCAGCTCTCAGTGGGTCTGTGGGGTCACGGCCACCACAGACCTGGGAGCTGTTGCTCTGGGCTGAGCTGCCTTTCCCAAGTGGTTTGTACAACGGTGCCAGTCTCTTATGCACACTCATTCCCTGAAGATGCTAAAGCTGGCAGAAAGAGTCCTGGCCCAGGTAATAATGCTGCCCAGTCCTTGCGGGCTCCCAGCCTGGCCACTTGCTCCTAGTGTCCCCTGAGGGAGCAGGGCCAGGCAGGGCTCCCTATCCTCCCCGCTCGCAAGCTGTTCCTTGGCAGCCGTTCCTGCAGCCGGAGCGACTAAGCAGCGATCTCTGAACCACAGGCATTTGATGAACGACTGCAGCGATGACGGGGTGTAGAGGAAGCGGAGGGTGGCTTCTCTCTCGCACAGTCCGACCCTGGCTGCGGAAAGCCATGTCCGTGCATAGCATGGTGCTGTGACATGGGCAAGTGGTCAGCATTTGCTGGGAGGGGAGGCTGAGCGGGGCGGAGGGGTGCTCCTTCCACCTCATGCCAGGCTCTGCACACCGGAGCCTGGGCCCCTCACATGGCCCGTCTGTCCCAGGCCGCCTCTCCATCAGCTCAGGGCTCACCACTTACCGCAGCCAAAGCAGGTGCGGGAGGCAGGGGAGAAGTGAAGTGGAGGAAGGATGCCAGCTCTTCCTGCATCGCAACGCACGAGTGCCGCCATGGCGCTCATGTACTGAGAGCCTCTTTCCTCTCGTCTCTAGAGACTGCCTGTCACAGCCGCTGTACTGGGAAGAGTTTGTCCAGCTCTGAGCCTGCTCCTGGGAAGTTTATTGGCACGTGCCAGGGAACCTGGGGAGCCTTTGAGACCCTTTGCTCTCCAGGCCCACACCTTCGCCCAACCAAGCAGCAGCAGCCAGCAAGCCTTGGGAGGTACGTGACCGTTGCAGGAGGCATTTGCCATTGCTGTGGCTTGTCATTGTGGGACAGCCCGTTGTGGGTTTTTTTTCCCTGTAACAGAGTCAACTCCGCAGTGGATTCCCTAGTCCAGGTCCTGGCCTGCTTCTTCAGAGCAGAAAAATGTGGCTCTCTGCACACCTGTGCAAAGAGGAGGGGTACAGCTGTGGTGGGAGTGTGGGGCTGGTCGCTCTGAGTACTCACACTGTGACTGCCTCCTCTTTGCTAGCTTGTGTCAGGCTGTGCCCAGGTGAGGAGCTACAAGCAGAGTCTGCGCTTGGCCTGGGACTGCGGGCATTGAGTGCTGTTAAGGGTCCTGACCGCCTTCCAGCATCAGGCTGTCAGTGCTAGGCTACCTGGTTAGGAGCAAGGTAATGGATGCCTCAGCCCCAGCCCTGCACCTCTGTGCAGTTCTTGGTCGGCAGCCCCTCCTGGGAAGGCTGCAGGAGCTGGCTGGGATGCCTCAGCGATGGGCTTGGTGGGAAGGCACTGCCTTCTGCAAGCTGGGGAGCACCTGGATTTCCTCAGGGGCCTTGAGCGTTTCTGAGTGCTTGTTTGTATCAGATGGGGTGTCAGGGAGGAGAGCGGCTGATTTTGATGCCTGCTGGTTTCAGTTTCTAATATGACATGAACAGGTCTCATCTCCTGTTTTGAGGTATGGCAGCTTAAAGTGCCAGCCCCTGAGGCAGCGACCGTGAGACAACTGAGGGTCATGCCTTTTTGTTGTGCACAATCCAGGCCTCCCCTTGCCAGATTCAGAAACAAAGTCTGAACCATCTGTGCCCCCAAAACAGTGTCAGGCTATCTGGGCAGTCTTATGCTCACTGCCTTCTCTCTGCTCCTTTCCCTGGAGGGACCCCTCCATCTCAGCCTTGATGAGAGCTGTCTGTGCAAGTGGTAACTAATACTGCTGTTGGAGGAGAGCAGCATTTATGTTACCTCGTTCCAACCCACTGGAGAGAAAAACAAAACAAAACAAAAAAAGCAATCCCATATCCTTCTGTAGCACCGAGCTTCACAAGGCGAGTGAATTACAGAAGTGAGGGAGATGGTTTTAGTCTCTTCTCAGTAAAATTGCTGTTGAGTTTTGCCAGATCTTCAACAGTAAAGTATCTTCAACAGTCCTTTCTTCTAGTCCTCCAGAATGAGCAAGGAGGCCTTTGCTCCCCCTTTTCCCCCAGAAGTGCGAGAAGCGCGATCTTGTAGAGTGATCTCTGCTGAAGTTGCCTAGCTAGAGAGCAGCTCTAGCATTTCCTTTTGCTGCCACTCAGAAGGAAAAAACATCCAGCTCAAAGAAGCTGATCTGGTGAGGTTTCCGTCATCCTGAGCTCCTCACGATGAAGTCTCTGCACTCAGAAAAGGCTGAACGTGGGGGCAGAACGTGGTCACGAAACGTCATAGGTTCCTATTGCATGCCTCATTAGATTGGTGAAGTAGCAGCAATAAAGAGACCGCTTCTCCTACCGAGAGTCTGTGAAAGTCTGTGAGTGACTCACAGGCATAATGTCTGGAAGAGGGCTGGAGGTATTGATTTCCTCTTTTCTGGGGTCTCAGCCTGGTGGAAGAATCATATGTGCTGGCACAAACAAGTAATAGGGTCAGGGAGGTGATGTGGAAGAGAAGCACAAACTAGATTTATTTGAGAAATTTGGGGCATTGACTTTGAGGTGGTTTTCCTGAGCATGTTTGGTGCCTAACGTGGCTGGAGGCCACTGCAAATGCTGTGAGGAGGGGAGAGAAGAGAAAAGGATAATCTCTTAGCAGTTCCCAAAGAGATTCCAGCAAGGACAACAGAGGTAGGGTGAGACTCTGGCTGGTGGATGTCCGGCTGCTGCCCACTGAAACAGAGATTTCTATGGGAGATGTGGGCTGTAGGAGCCTGGTGACAGGGCTTGACAAGGCAGTGCAGGAAGATGCACAGGAAACTTTTCTGCGTCAGTGAGTTAAAACTTGTCGGCCAAATGTTTCTGGGTGAAAGCTGTCCCTGGTGGTTTCCCCGCTGAGCAGTGCTGGGAATTAGGCAAAGTTTGTGCTGCAGGGATCTCTCTCAGTGCAGCCTGCTCTCTGGCCCATGTCCCCAGTGCTGGAGAGAAGTCGCAGCTCAGAACATGCTAGCCAGCACTACGCAAATTGATGTTGCTTGTGGCAGAGAGGCAGTGGACACCTACATAGCAGCCTGCTTTGGCAGGAGTGTTGTCAAAGGCACAGTGCCAACCGGTGCCCCCAGGGCAGCTGTGCTCGGTGGGCTTCCAAAGAGAAGGGACACAGCACATTGAGGCAAGCTATGTCCTGAGGAACGAGATGAGCCACAGCCAGGGGCGTACCCTGTAGAGCAGCTCTGTGGAGGAGCAGAGCAGAGCAGCATGCTCAGAGGTCCTCCCAAGAGAAATCAGTTCCCAAGCCTAGTTCTCAACAGCCCCCAGGGAGAGCCCTGCTTTTAAGATTCCTAGAAAAGATTATGCAGAAATCACAGGTCCCAGCAAACAGGAGTGGCTGTTCCTGTCAGCCCCACGTTCCTGGCATGGATTAGTAGTAAGCAGTGGGCTGCCATGAGGCCGGACAGTGTGAGACTGGGAAATGTCCTCATCAATGTAATACTTCTTGGGACAAGCCAGTTTGAGTAGCAAACTGTGTGTGGCAGGGGTGGGAGAAGATCAAACCCCCACTAAGACCTGGAGGAAGGACCAAGGAGGTACCTGATGACTTTGCTCCCTCTGGAGGCAGAGGCATGGCCTGAGAGCAGGGTAACCAAGGATGGGGGAACACACAGGGCATATGTAGAAGAGGAGCAAAGGTCCTGTGATTTGGGCTGTATGGTGGAAATAAGGGGAGCAGAGCAGCTCCAAGGCTTCCCCCTCCCACGCTTGCACACACATAGACATTGCGGGCGGGGTTGGGCCAACAGGGTCGTCCTACCCTACGTGGTGTTTATGCCTTTTGGACACAGATGCTGTTACTCTAAGAGGGAAGGGCAAAGGGAGAGCTCATGAGGAAGACCCTGGACCCACAGGGGGTATTAAAGGGCCATGATTGTGTTCCTGTCCCCTCTGTACTTGTCTGTCTTGGAGCTGGATGCAGCCTGTGGTGTGCTTGTTATCCCCATACGCTAAGCTACAGTGACGGAGAGGTCACTGTACTCTTTGATGCCAAAACTGCCTCTGCCATGCTTTTGCTGAGCTCAGTGCAGGGTATTGATGTGCTTTTTCCCATCTGGAGGTCATTATTTCCTCCTGGCTGTGGTGCTGAATCAGTGCCAGTGACTCGGGTTTCCTAACCTCCCCCACAGGTCACCACAGTCACCCAAGGTTGAATGCTGGAGATTTGTCTCCTGTTCCCAAGCCTGTGCACATCAAGCTATTAACCTGATCAGCTCATTACATTCGTCCTCACTTTGCTCTTCTGTAGCCTGGACATATCTCCTTTGGAAAGGAAGGAAGGTGGAGAGGGCAGTCAGGTAGCGGGGAGGTTTGGTTTCTAACAGACTTTGGGAATCCAACGTCTGCTTTCTAACCCTAATTTCTCTGCTGGTTTTTTGTGTCCGTGGGCAGCTCCTTCAACAGACCGGTGTCTCAGCTGCCCGATCTGCAAACAGAAGTGAGCAATCCTCGTTCTGCCGGGGAGGGATGGCCAAGGCTGAGTGAGTACAGGCATGCAAGAAAGCCTGGGTTAGTCATCTAAGCTTTCCCAAGACTTTGTTTTGGTGTTTTGCTACCCAGCTTTCCGTGAATATCTTAGCAAATGAGTCTGCTGGCAGAGTACTTAAGGGAAAGACAAATTTTAAAAATTGCATTCACATAAAAGAAATGTCTTATTTTTAATCAGAAATCTGATTCTCTGGATTAGTGCCCACCCAACCAGAGAGGAGAAGCATATGCTGGTATATAAACAAAACAAACAGGGCACTGAATATTCACGACAAACCTGTCACACTGGAAATGCTTCATAGAAATTATCCAGCAAGTCACTCTGAATGGCAAACCTAATAAATTCGCTGTCCTTTCATAGCCATTGCAAAAAGAGAAATAAAGATAGCCTTTCTCTATTAGTCTGCACATTTTCTCATCCTAATTTAGCATCTTTCCTCTAAGTAAGACCTTGATTAGATAGGCCATATGTTGTGATTTCTGCCTGTATATTATTGCTTCATTTTCCTAGATGCAATCCTGCCTATTCCTGTTTTTCTTCAGTTAACTGTCACTGTTATTACTTCAGGGCAGCATCTGGCACAAAGGGACTCCTACCTTTGATTGGCATATGGTGGTACTGTCCTGTATATGACTAACAGGAAGTGCTTGCAGAATCTTCTAGGTGAGAATGCACCCACTCAGCTCTGTTATTCACATCATTATTCCCTTTCTACTTCTTAAAGATAGGGAAAAGCACAATGAGGGGAAGGGTTTCACCCAAAATTACACCATCGGTGATGTAGACCAGATTAGAAACTGGTCTAGTGATTCTGTCTTTTTTTTGCTTGGACCTTTAAGATATGGTTGCAGAGTGCTGTTACCAGAGTATTTCAAAATACTGTTATCTCTTAAGCTTGATGTGCAAATTTAGCTTAAGGGTTTTAACAGTAACTTTAACTCTGACCTACAGCGTTCATGTGATTCTCTCACTATATGTATCACTGCAAAATCCTATTCTTTAACGTATCTCCTCCACTTGGAGGAAGGTTGAGCGTGTCCTATAGGTCTGAGATCAAGCTGTTACTGGAGTGCATGAGCAGAAATTTCTTCTTGCCCTTCTTACTGCATGAGCTATTCCTAGAAACTTTACATGATTTACTTATCTGGTTGTTCCCAGTGGTTATTTTAATGGTAACACTGCAGTTATGTAAGTTGCGTAAGCTTCTATAGGATCAGCACCATACAAGGTGAGATTGGCTGAAACAAATGGTCTAGAAAGATACCGCTTGGGTATCTGGAGACGAGTATCCTATGCAGGGATATCTGGGAGTGAAGGGACCTGGACAAAGGCAGGAAAATGAGCTTCGGTTAGCTTCAGAGGAGCTGTGATTTGCTGCAGGGGCTGCGCTATGGGACTGAGCACAGTGTGATGGCTCCTTTGGGCATGGAGTTGGAGTTGCCTGGGAGAGAGGGGAAGATCACCTGTGGCTTCAGGGCTCTTCTGTCCCTAAAATTTCTCTGTGCAGTGAGACTGTCATTGAAAAAATGATGTTTGGTGTGATGGGGAAGAGCCAGGAGCTGGCTGGACTAGGTGTGTGAAGGTTTACTTCGGAAAGGAGATGCTGGACAGGTTTGCGTGTGGACAGGAGAAGTTGGAGCAGGATGACTAGCAGCATTTGCAGGAGAAACCCGTTGCTTTTTGTCCACTGGGAGCAAAATGCTATCTGCTGCTGGAGAAAGGGGTCAGCAACAAGGACTTGACAGGGAAAGGCAGCCTTTATTGATCCCCGTGATGCTCTCTCCCTCTCTCCCTGCCATGCTGTGATGCTCCTTCTAGAAGCATGAACCCTGCCTAGAAACAAGTTGCAGGATCTTAACCCTGGGCAGTGAAGTGGTGGCAGAGAAGAGACTTAGAGGTTGCTAAGAGTCCCCTTGTTTATTTGCGGAAGGTCCAGCAGCTCCCTTGGTCACAGACACACTCTCCTTGTTAACAAAAAGGCAATGAATTATTTAGCAGCTGAAAATGCCAGATGGTGATGGCTCTGCTGTTTATATGAGGATGGAAGGGAGGGAGATGTGCACACAGGGAAGAACAGATCGAGAGCATCTCCCTAGGAGAGGGCTGCCCCCAGCCAGAGGTCCCGATAGTGCTGGAGGTTTCACAGCTGTCTGCTGCAAGCCGAAGGCAACTGGGCTGGGGGAAATGGCTGCAGCATGCCACAGTGGCCCATTTATTTCCCACAGGACTTGCCTTGCTGAAGTTCCCTTTTCAGAGGCTGTTATCTCATCCGGGCCACACTGGGCCTCGAAGCTTGGGATTTCCCTACCCTGGTTGGGATACAAACTGTGAGTAGAGGACACTATGGGGAGGCTTTGCCAGCCCACCCCTTACTTCACACATGACATCAGGGATAGTACTTCAATCTTGACCCTACTGGCATGCCCTCCAGGACCAGGTATCAGCCCATCCCAGAGTGTGACGTGGCAGTTCTCCTTTTGGGATCCACCCTGTCAGCCCTCCCAGCTTGGGCTAGGATGTCTCCAGACCCCATAGACTGGTCAGATCAGGACATACATGGCTGGGTGACGTCCAAGGAGAAGATGTTGCAGTGAGCAGCATGGGCAGATCTGTAGCAGAGGCTGAATGCAGTGCCCCAGGTGACAACATGCCACATATACAATAAGTGTGACTGGTATGGGTCTGTGTGTCCTGGGGATCCTGATGCCTGTAGCTCAGCAGCTTCTGACATCTCTTTGAGGAACCTATGCAGATAGCCTCAGATATCAGCCTAACCCTGGAGTAGAGTGAGCCTTAAGTTTTGCTGGGCTATAGCCTTAGTCCAAGGTCCCCAGCCAACTCTGTGGCTTCTAGTGAAGATTTGCTCTGGGCTGGAATTTAGGCTTCAGAAGAAATAGCAAGTCTCTTTCTTTAGTTTGGAAACAACAGGCACCAGGACTAGTTCTTCAGCTCTTAAAGGCTAAACTTTCAAGATGTCCTTGGGAATCCATGATGTCTACCTGATTGCATTTGTCAGAGTGTCAAAGCCCATTTTTGTCAACTTTCTATTTGAAAACCTCTCTCTTTCTCAATCTTCCCTTGCCCTGGATAAGGAGGGTGAAGAGGGTCCGTGCTTCAGGCCTGAAATCTGTGTCACTCCTACCCCAGCACCTCCATTCTACCTGCTCTGCTCAACAGTGGAGGGGTTCCTTCTCAAGAGCTCTAGGTCAGGACCATAATTTCCTCAAGAACAAGACTCTCTATTCGAAGAGAGAGAGCCTGAGGCTGTAACAGTGCACATAAAACCACGTGCTAACGTAGTCTCCCATCTGTCACGCTGATACAGCAGAAGTAAATGTTTCCCAACAAAAGCAAATCCATGTAGAGCTGAAGAAGATCCGCTTTCTAAGCTGAGGAATTGTGTGTGCGTTCTTTCTGTGCTCCCAAGGGCCTCTGAATCAGATTTCCTTTGGTGTTAAAGCAGAATTGATCCAGTTTGGTCTTGATGGGAAGAAAACACCATATAAGCTTGGCACGTCCAGGCCACTGAGGGATCAGCTTTCGCCGAGTGACTGCAGGGGCCACAGTGGGGTCCTAATTGTGGCTAGAATATAGATAAAAAGGAGAGAGATGAATGAATGCCCAGTGGCTTGAATACAAAACAAGCACCCATGTTAATAGGCACAGTGAGGTTTCATGTGGTTCTTGCATAGGCTGTGGTCACAATAGCATGTCTGCAGTGCATGGCACTCTTGTAGGAGGCTTTAGATAAGGTCTCAAATCAACAAGGGTGTCTGGTGCATGAGGGAGAATTGAAAAGGCTTGTTATGTGTCAATGTGGAAAGCTGCCACCACAAGAGGGGGTCACAGCGGCTAGGTAGATATCCCAAGGCAAAAAGGGAAGCTCTCAAGGGCACCGGGGAGAAAGGGATGGAATTCTAGAAAGTGAAGAGCAAAAAAGTGTTTCCTATCAGCAAGAACTGTAGTCCGCACTGTCAGCACTCAGGCAAAGTGGGGGAACGTTGGCATTTAGGATTTTAAGAAGCTGATTTTTCTAATGTGTCCTGGAAGTAGCAGTCCTGCTCTGGCAGGAAGATAGAAGGGAGGTCCTATGACTCTCAAATCACACCAGCCGTGATGCTAGAGGAGAACAGAGAGGGCTGGGGGATGGCCAACAAAAAGCAGCTTTCTGGTTGCAGGGAGCAAAGCGAGTGCAGCCCCAGCAGCCCACCTGCTAATGTGATCATTGCTCTTATTCACAGAAGTTCAAGCAAAGGTTCCTTGCTGCTGTCTGCTGACTGCACCAGGGTGGCCATGATTCAACCCACCTTCTAGGAATGAGAGGGAGAGGTGGTGAGGGACCTATCTCAGGTATGATGGAAAAAAACAAATAGCGTGGGGTTTAAGGGAGTGGGGAGAAGGAGTGAAGCAGCCGTGAAACTCCTCCTGCCCTGTGTCCCACAGCCCTTCTGTGGGAGAAGGGGGAGTGGAGAAGATGGGAGTATGGGGTGTGCTCAGTCAGTTCTGCTCCGATTACTCTGGCATTTCTACTCCAAGGCCACTAACCAGCTCCATCCCCTCCCTACCCTTAGCGAGCTTCTCAGACCTTTGTGGAGGAGCTGGAGGAGCCACAGCTCCTTTTCTAACAAAAGCTCCCCCATTCTCACCCTGGCCCCTATGTTGCAGCGTGAGGCCCTGTTGCAGCACCAATGGACAGTGCGTACTCGGTGGAGCCAGCACCGGATGGTGCTGGCTCCTTCTCTCTGGATGTGCTCAGCTTCCTGGACACCCTGGCGAACAGCACGGAGGAGCAATGCTTCAGCGCCCATTCCCGCAGCACTGTCCTGCAAGGCCTGCCATTCGGCGGTGTGCCCACTGTGCTCGCCATCAACTTCATCCTCTGGCTGGTGAGTGGAGTCAGAAGGGTACTGTGCCTGCGGGCACCGCTCCCCCGTGCCCACAGACTTTCTATGAGAAAATGGGGCACCAGGGCTGGAAATGGCATCCTTGGCCAGCAAGCTCAGTCCCCATATCTCAAACTCTAAGATGAGGCATCATCTTAGAGTAATGGCTATGTCCTGAATGAAATTCTCTTGGCACTTCTTTTCTATGCATTAATTGGAGACAGTGCTCCAGGAAGAAGGTGGGCCAAAAGGTGATGTGGTCCCTGTATGTCCTGCTACCAAGGTCTGTGTGCTCCAGGTAGCCCTGAGGTCCTTCCAGTCCTATCCTTTGATCCTGCAGGACAGCCCTTGCTATAGTAGGATTTGGTAGCTACAGTTACACCAGAGTCTGGTAAATCCCTCTTACTGGTGCTGTGGGATGGTGCAGTGGAGCAATGCTGCAGGTTTCCTGCTCAGGGCACTGTGACATGGTGCAGTGAGAAAGGGGCTGAGCCATCCATGCACACGGGAGCTTCTGCTACTCATCCCACCAGTGATGCTTGACCAGAAGAGGAAGAGTGGACCTAGCCTGAGGGTTGTAGGTAAGGCTGTGTGGGGATGTAGCATCCCCAAGGAGAGACTGGCTGTGAGCACACGTGCCTTGTGTGTGCCAGTGTGGCCGTTGTTTGGGATAGTGTGGGTGAGTTGTACAGCATGGGGGGACAACAGCTTTGCCCACTCCGTGCTGGACAATGGGTGACCACTGGGACTGCCACAGAAGCGGTGGTTGCCATAACCTCGGGAATAGCTGCGTCCCAGTTGCAGGAGTCTCTCACGGTACAGGTGCACTCGAGATCTGTGGGGCTGTGTCAGCGTCTGTGTTGCCATCCTCCAGCAGCTGTGGTGAGATTGTGGAGTAGGAGGAGATTGGCTTGAGAGGCAAGTTTTGCGTGAGCTGGGGGCACCCCACGGCAAGACCCTTCACCTTCCCTCTTCCCTCTTGTTGCAGCTTCTCCTTCTGGTCTTCTCCTGCCTTCGGAAAGCAGCTTGGGACTATGGGCGCCTGGCACTGCTAATGGACAATGATAGGTGAGAAGGGCGTGAGGCCACCCGTGAGGCCAGCCCCACTGCCCTCAGCTGCAGCCTCTTGGCCAAGAGGGGCCAGGGCTACAGCATGGCCCACGAAGGAGCCAAGCGGGTGCTTCTGGTCCTCCTTTCCTCTGGGAATGGCCTGGCTGTCCTTGCACCATTGGGGCCGGCTCTCCCAGCTGGGAGCAGACAAGCACGGTCCACTGGAGGGAGAGGGAAAGCCTAGGCAAGCTTTGATTCCCTCTTGCAGGTTCAGAGCTGAGGCTTTACTTAGGGGCAGTATTTTATGGGAAGTGAAAAGGTGATAGAGATTGTTACCCAAACAGGTTAAACAACGTGTCCCCTGGCAAGGACTGAACGGTGCTCTGCCCAGGGTGGCTAGCAGCACTTCTGATAGTCTCCTTTCCCCCTCCACATCCAAAACAGCTGAATCCCTCCAAGAACATGGAGCTCCTGTGAGCAACAGCACTGGGCATCTGGTGATGGTGCTCTTGGTAACAGGGAGCACCTCATCCTGGGAAAGAAAGAGGCCCAAGAGCTGCTTTCTGATGGGTACTGAGCCACCTTTCACTCCTTTCTGCGCTCTCAGGACTGAGCAGGGCTGGCCAGAGGGAACGGAGGTAGATAGGCAGCGATAATGCTTTTGTTCGTGTCGCTAAGGCAGGCTGAGGGCTCACCTGCCCTTTCCTGGCCTGTCTGCAGAGCTAAGCACAGACTGCCACAAGAAATGCCACTGTCACAGTTAAAGCAGAGCCCGGGCCAGAGCTGGGCCAGGTTTCCTGGCAGGCTGCACTGCCCACAGCTGCCTGCAGCTGCTTGCTCCCAGAGTGCTGCTCGCCCCAGGCCAGCTGTGGTGCCTCTTTTTTTCCACAGGCTGGTACATGCAGAAGAGGTCTCTGCAAGGCCTGGGCTGCCTGCAGGAACAAACTTCCTAAAAGCCTCTTTCCCATCTTTTCTCCTCTCTGGCTTCTCCTGTACTTGGGCTCCGGATCTAACTCTAGAAGTGGATAGGCGATGTTTTCTTTCACTAGGGAGATCAAAGGAGCAGTCAAGATTTAAAATGAAAGATCTGGTTAAGATTCCTTTATTGCAAAGTCATTTAAGAGGGCTGAAACTAGTCAAATTAAAAATGCAGTTTACCAGGCCCTTGTCTTCAAGCTAAGGTGATTCTCTGCAAGCAACCACACTGTGGGCCCCAGCTGTACAGCAGCCTGGAGCGACCTCCCTCCAGGCACTGTGCATGTCCAGCCTCCAGCACAGGACATGTGCGGGGACAGGCAGGTGTTTCTCGGAGGGCTTGGGGCAGAGGGTGCTGGGGGGCTCAGGGTGCCATTCTTGTATGCTCCAAACCATCCTGCCTCCGAGGGGCTCCCTTCTGAGCAGCCTCTGTCACTACTCATCCGACCTGATAATTTCAAACCCAAACACACCTTCCACCCGCTGAGCCTGCTGTGCACATGCCCCATATCAGCCTGGCTGATTTCCCAGGACAAGCTCAAGGAGGGCAGGGTATGAGTTGCTTTCCCAGGGATGCTCTTTCTCTCCTTTCTATTTTTTCACTTATGCCTCACCTCCTCCTTTCTCCCTCTCCCTTTGAAGTTTGACGTCACTTTTCTATGGCGAGCAGAGTGAGAAAGAGAAGTCCCCGTCTGAGACCAGTCCCCTCGACACGGACAACAAAGACGTGGTGAGTAGCTGCAGGATGTGGCGAGCTCTATCCTGTCCAAGGAGACACTGTTACTCAGAGGAAGCTCAGGCCAGAAGTGAAGCACAAGAAGTTAAACTCTCAAACATAGTGTTTTCTGCTTAACACCCGTTAACAGCAGGCCCAGAAGCTGCAATTTGTATGCTAGGAAAAGCTGAAGGGTTTCTTTGTCCTGGTTTGCCTTGGTTCTCCAGGCACTTACTGTGAGGGGCAGCCTGGAGAGGACCCTCCCCACCAGGGTCCCTGTCCCTCGCTGCACTACCGTTGGTGCTGGCCATGGGGACATAGTTGAAGCGTGCTGCCTTTGTACGCCCGCGAGGGTAAAGCTCTGCGCTCCTGTAAGGACGTTTCTTCCCCTGGTGGGATAGTCCTCCCAGGATCGCATAGCCATGCTGCAGGGCACAGGCTGCTTGCCCTCACTTTAAGGGAGCTGCCCCACAGCCCTGCCCTGGGGGAAAGTGATTTTCTCTCTGTGGCTGCTGAAAGGCATCCTGCTCGCTCTGGCCCATGAAGCACAGGGGACACAAAGCAGTCAAGTCCTCCTCCAGAAGAGGAGCAGCGAGGCCAGGAGAGACCCTTGGCCCGTAGTTTTCCCTCCTTGCCTTCCCTACCAGCCACTGGGAGCGCTACTAGCTCCCTTCGCCCACATGTCCGCCTCTGGTGGGCTGCAAACACATCCCTTTGAAGTTGTCTTTTTTTTCCCTATATGGCATCAGACACAGAAGAGGCTTAACTAGCAACAAACACGGACTGATGTGTTTCGCTATCTGTTTCTCTTTCTTTTCTGGCAACAAAAGCTGAAACAGTCACTGCTGTATTAAAAAAAAAAGTATATTTCTCTCTTGAAACTGTCCTGGAGAGCTGGAAATTGGCTAATGCATTGCTACTTTTTTCAGTAAGGTTTCTGGTGAAACCCAGGAAATTACATACTAGTGATGTTAGCATCCATATGGGCAAATTCTTAGAAATGGTTTTGCAGAGATCTATTGAGTGTGACATATGAGGAGAGTCAGCCTGGCTTTCCTGATGGGCAGTCAGGCCTCAGAGCTATGGGGAGTCCTTGGAGCCAGCTGGGCACATGGGACAGGAGGAGATTTGGTGGAGTTTGCTTGGATTTCCAAAGTCTCCCACTGCAGTTGTTCAAAAGAAGCTCAGCTGCGGGGTAGGAGAAGTCATGGCATGGATAAAGCCAGGGAACAGAGAGGAGGAATAAGCCGTTAGCTCTCACAAGGGGAGGACGTAAAGGCAGCCCCCCAGGGATCTGCCTGGGGTCCTCCTTTTCATGGTCTTCATAAACTGGCTGGAAAAGGGGCAGAGCATACTGATGGGGACGACTACAGAAGGACCTTGAACTCGGATGAACTTTAGTGTAGGTAAACGTGAAATAATGTATATGGGAGAAAAATCCGAATATTACATGCCGTGACAGGTTCAGAGCTATTACTAGTAAAGAACAAGATCTTGGCATTGTCCTATATTGTTCTATGGCAGTGCTGTTTCAGTAGTCAGCCATGGTCAAAAAAGCCTACTGCATGTTTACCATTATGAGCAAAGGTACGGAGAAGAGAAGTTATTGAAGCCAGGAGACTCTTTTACAGAAGTATCACTGTGTTTCCTGCTCTTCTCCAGCACCTGCTTTTGGCCACTATGGCAGCTGAGCTCCTTGGCTAGGTGTACCTGCAGACAGCCCTGTGCTCTCTGTTTTTGCGGCCAAGAGCAGAGCGTGGCTCAGCCCCTGTGGCCCTGCACCACCTCTGCAGTGTCCCCCACGGGCCATGCCCCAAGCCCAGCGCTACATGGGGAGGCTGGGATGGTTGCCTCCAGCTCATCCTAACTCTCTTCCTTTCCAGGGATTCTGCTCCTGGCTCATTTCTATCTACCAGATGAAGTAAGTGCTGGCGTTGCCTTCCCTGGCAGCACCCCACTGCTGCCTGGCCCCAGGGAGCTGGTGTGTGCAGGTGGTCACTGGCTCTGGAGCCACCCTACACCTAGAGCCACCAAGCAAGCTCCCATGGGGACCGGAGAAGGAGGAAAGCAGAGGGAGCCCCACTAAAACACCCCACAGGGGAGAGGTAGCAGAGGGCTCCTCTCTGCGTAACTTGTGTGGCTCTGCTATGCCCAGGCTCATGCCCCAAAAGAAAGGGCTTTAAGCTCTTCTGGTGGGAGCAAGTCCTGCAATCGGCTGGCGGCCTGAAGGGTCTTTCCTCTCCCTGTTCCTTCTATACCCAAATCCCCTGTGCCACAGGCAGGATACTGTGAATTTCTGCGGGTTTTGCAAAGCTGGAGCAGCTAGCGTCCCTGGCATGGGGAGGGGGATGGTGGTGGTGGTGGTGGTGGCGGGGGGGGCAGAGGAGGGGAGGCAGCACCACCAGCACTAACCTGCACCCACTTCTCTTCCCCAGAGATGAGGAGATTCAGAGTAAATGTGGGATCGATGCCACCACATACCTCTCCTTCCAGCGGCATCTCCTGGTCCTGCTCATGCTGGTCTGTGTGCTCTCCGTGGCTGTTATCCTGCCCGTCAACTTCTCGGGAGATCTCTTGGGTAGGTGCTTCCCCAAGTTTTGGGGTGGTTCAGGAGAGTGGCATAAGTGACCCCAGCCTTAGGGTGAGCAGTGTGCACTGTGCTACAGGGATGGAGGACAGGACCAGACTGTCATGAGCCAACACTTGAGCGGAATTAAGCTATCTGGAGGGCTGATCCCGCACAACATGACTGTACCAGGAGCTGGCCCCATGGACAGGGATCAGGCTCAGCTGTGGGACAGAAGAAATGAAAGAGGCTCGAGAACTTCAGGCGTGGCAGGGGCTTGGCAGGGAGCTGGGAGATGTGTGGAGACAAGGGAGCAAAGATGAGCCACTGGAGCGGTCCCCTTGGGAGCACACACTGCACCGGATTCCTGTAACCTCCCTGCTTCTCCTGTTCTCTTGCAGGAAACAATCCCACCCACTTTGGGCGGACAACCATCGCCAACATCCCAACACAGTACGTGGCTCCCATGTCTTGAGGGGCTGTGTGTGCTACTGCTGTGTTAGCACCGCTGGGAGCGCCAAGGCATAACGCTCGGCATAGCCCCTTGACCATGCCAGGGACTGGTCCATGTGAGCAGCACGCTACTCGCAGTTGTCCGTGTGTCTGTTTGCACTGCACACAAGCACAGTCATGGCAGCTGGCATGCATGCACTGCTTGCTACACCCCCATTATCAGCAAAGGTTGCATTTGGAGTAGCTAGGGCAGCTTCATTTCCACAATATCTCAGCACCCTAGAAGCAGCCCCTCCAGTCCCCCAAGGAATGGATCTTGCAGTCCTTGCAAGGACCGGGAGGGCCGGGAGAGCAACGTGTGTGGTGCCGAGCACCGAGCTGGTCTGTGTGACATGTGCCCACTGCATGGGTAGCTGATCCAGTCTTTGTCTCCTCCAGGGACCGTCTCCTGTGGCTACACAGTATCTTCGCCCTCATCTATTTCATCCTCACCATCCTCTGCATGGCTCATCACTCTGTCCATCTTGAATACCGGGAGAACGAGAAGGTGAGCAACTTCCCCTCTCTGCCAGCCATCATCTCTGCCTTTCTCAGCACAAATGGACAGCTGTGTGTGCTTTGCAGAAATGATGGTCCCAATATAGAAAAAGAGCTTTACAAACAGTCTGGAACTGGGCAGGCAGGCAAAGATAAGGTGGATGTCCTCCAGCTTCTGGAGGCAGCCTGGCAGCCCAGAGGTAAAACTCTCTCTTATTGCTACCTTGTTGCTGAAATTAAAATTCTGCTGTGTCCAGCTCTCTATGAGGTTGTAATGTCCAGCCGTGCCTCTGGAGTCTGGGAGCAGGCTTTGAGGAGGTCTGTGTTGACTCAGATTGCACGGCTGGCAGCAAGCCCTCCTGGTGGGTGGAGGGATGAGGGATCATTCTCCCTTCTCTGCCACCTTATGAGAGCAGGATCATACTTAGTCTTTTCCCTTCCCTTTGTGCACATCCTTTCACCATCCATACTGTGGAAGCAGTGACCCTGAACACCACGTGCAGGCAAGCAGGATGGCAGTTAGATGTCCCACAGACCCTCTGCCCCCATCCATCACCTCTCCCCCTTCTCCTCCTCCAGGTCGCCCGGACACTGATGGTCACGCGGATTCCCAAGGAGATAACAGACCCTTCCCTGATCATCAAGCATTTCCAGTGAGTAGCACCATGTGCCAGTCTTGCCCCACCAGGGCAGCTGGTGCTCACCACGTGCTGAAGGCAAGCAACATGCTGCGGCCCTTGCAGGCAGGATGGCTCCACTCTGGTGCAGAGAAGGCAGTTGGCCTCTTCTCACACAGCCTGGCCAGGGGTCTTACTGGGGCTAGTGACCCCTGCCAGTCCGGTTCACCCTGCCAGGGAGAAAGCTGGGGGACTGGCAGTGAGCTCCTCTGCCACCTCCTCTGCCATGGGGAGGGAAGGTTGTCCCCATCCCCCTGGCTCCCAGTGTCTCTGTGTCTCCATGCCCACAGTGAGGCCTACCCCAGCTGCACCGTCACCAATGTCCAGTTCTGCTTCGACGTGCGCAAGCTGATGAAGCTGGATGCAGAGAGGTGAGTGTGTCCTGGGGCCCCTTGCCTGCAGCTTTTCTTTTCTGTGCACAAGTATGGCCCAGATGTGCATGCCCTGGTGAGCGTTGGTGTTCGCACTTGGCGGGCAGGCTTCCTACAGCTTTTCTGGCTATTCCCAGGCCTCCATCCTGCTAGGGAATACAGTGATCTGCAAGATTTGGCATAGCAGCTGCCTTGTGCCAAATGGAGTCTACCTGGCAAGGGGAGACAGCTGGCTCAGACCACAATGGTCCTGAGCTGGCAGTGTGGCTGTGGAAGTCTGAAATGGCTCCTACCCAACAACTTCAGAGAGCTGGTCTCACTTCCTTGGGGGAGATGGAGGGGAACTCCCTGAAAAAACATCATCTCTGGCTCTGTTCTTGGCAGGCGCAAGGCAATGAAGGGGCGACTTTACTTCACCACCAAGGCACAGAAAGAGGGGAAGATCATGATCAAAACCCATCCTTGTGCCCGCATCTTCTGCTGTCGCATCTGTGGCTTTGAGCAGGTAGGAGGGGAGTGGGCAGTGCTGGAGACAGCATGTTCCCCAGCAGAGAGGGCAGGGGCTGCCTTATGGCAGGAAAGCCTTCCAAGAGCCTTCCTTTTGCCTGCCGCACTGATCTCTGATGGGCTCCTCAGAAATCTCCCTTTTGCCGTGAACACCAAGGCTGAAGAGCCCCCAGAGCCCCTTGCAGGCAACAGGACACCCAGGAGTATCTTCTCCCCAGCACTGCCCTTTAAGGCCTTGACAGGCACTGCGGTACTGAAGGGCGCTCAGCTCTCCGTTGCAGCCCAGAGTGCTGCCTCTGTGACAGCTTCTGCCACTCTGTCGTAAGCAGTGTGTGCTGGAAAGGCTGGCGTGACATGCAGCAACTCGCACGCATTGCCCACCATGGCTGATACACTCCCCGAATGGGATTTGGCAGCTCTTGAATCCGAGGTTGCAATCTTTCTCCAACCCAGCATGGGAAAGCAGAGCTCCTCCTCTCCATCCCCCATGCTCAGGAGGCCCTGGTCCTGGACGGGTGATTGTTATCCTGCCCCCCATCTGCTCTCACCTTGCCCCAAGAAAGGAGAGCTCCTCAAAGCCACCTTGCTCCTGCCTGCAGGTGGATGCTGAGCAGTACTATGGGGAGCTGGAGGAGAAACTCACAGATGAGTTCAACGCTGAGCGCAATCGCATCACGCTCAAGCGGCTCGACATGGCCTTCGTCACCTTCCAGGATGAGAGGATGACGGCTGTGTGAGTGCCCATCTCTGAGGGGGAGGCTGTGACCCTACCAGTCCAAGCACATCCCCCTAGCCTGGCAGCAGCATGGTGGGAAGTGGGGTTGGGGCCACTGCCTCTGGGGGACAGCAAGGGGATCTCAGGGCACCTCCCTGGCTCCTCCAGCCAAAGCCAGTGATGCGTCTGTTCCAGCTTTGTCTCCTAGCTGAAGACAGGACTGCTCTGCAAGCCTGGGGTTGTGGAAAAGGTGTTACAAAAGGTGGGAGAGGGAAGCAGGGGCAGTCCTGAGCCCTTGGCTCAGACCTGTCCCCTTAGCTCTTTTCTCTTGCAGGATTTTGAAGGACTACAGTCACATCCGCTGTCGTAAGCACCCTCAGCAATCCTCCGTGACTACAGTGGTCAAGTCACACCGCTGGGGTGTTCGCTATGCCCCTGCACCCAGCGATATCATCTGGTAAATCCCGTTGCAGGCCGGGGCGGGAGGGATAATGGCCATGCAGAGGGGGAATCTGTGGCCATAGCTACGGGGCATCTTCCCAAGGCAGGCAGGGGCTGAAGATCCCTCTCTCTGCGGCCTTAGCAGAAATCACCAGTTGTGACTGGGGTGATCATCCCAAAGGTGACAGGGCTTGGCCTGGCAAGGCTTGGGAGTGATTGCCATCCTCTGATTTCTCTGGCCTGCCCCCAGAGTCTCTGTGGGGGCACAGAGCTGCTCCTGCTGTGATGCTCGAGTCCCGGGGGCTCTGCTGGCAGCGATGCAGCGGTGCTGAGAGCAGGGAGAGGGTGAGCTCGGAGCAAGGGCTGCCAGGAGGGTCAGTGTATACAGCAGGGACAGGGAAGCAGTGTGGTTGCACACTTTGGAGGGCATGCTCAGAGGCCCCAAGGCACACAGCTTGTCCTATGCTCCATTTCCAAAACGTACTTTTCTCTCATAGGGAGAATTTATCGGTCCGTGGCACATCATGGTGGGTGCGATTTATCCTCCTTAACATCTGCCTCTTCATTCTCCTCTTCTTCCTTACCACACCGGCCATCATCGTCAACACCATGGACATGTTCAATGTCACACGGCCCGTGGAGAGCCTCAAGGTAGTTGATAGGGCCCAGTGCCAGCCTCAAAGAGTCTCCATTTTCAGGCTTGTCTGTGTTAGAGGATGTCCCTGGCTTTATGCTGGCCCAAGGAGATGATCCATCACCGGGACAGTTGTTGATGAGTGGCAAAGAGAGCTTGTGCAGTTTGTCATCTCCCCCTTCTCATATGTGTTTTTGATGGCAGAGTCCTGGGGCCTCCATGCATACCTGAGGTTGGGTGTCTGTGCCTCAGGCTTGCTGTCCACAGGGAAGTATAGCTTGGTGTCTGTGCAGGAGGAAAGGGGTGGGAACAACTCCAGGACATTAGAATCTGCCAGCAATGCAACACCCTCCTCTTCACTGACCTGCTAGCTGCTGTGAGGGTGTTGGGTCTTAGCACATACCCATCATGCCTTTTGCCATCCTCAAGCTCTTCCCTTCTGGAACAAATGCCCTTGCAGTGCTCCCAGAGGGGATGCACTCAGGGGCACCTGTGCCAGGAGGCCTGGGGAGCTGCCTCCATCATGGCTGAGCAGTGTTGGCACAGGCAGGCACAGCTCATTCCTCCTTGAAGCCAGCGGACTCCTAAATGGGTGTCTGGCATCTCTGTTCTCGCAGAACCCCATCATCACCCAGTTCTTCCCTACGCTGCTGCTCTGGGCCTTCTCCGTCTTCCTGCCCTTCATCGTCTACTACTCTGCATTCTTCGAATCACACTGGACGAGGTAACAGGGCCCGGCCGTAATGCTCCCCACAAGACTACTCAGGGCTGTGTTAGATGGGAAGAGCCTCAGTAGGACTCATTGAACCCAACCTGCAGGGAGATAGGCAGTAGGCTTGAAGAGTGGCAGATCTCCACAGCACCATGGATGTTGTCCAGGAAAGGGCCCCAGCTCATGCTCAAAGGAAACGTTTCCTTGCCATGGTTGTGAACACATTCAGGGTGCCAACAAGTGCAAACCGAGCTGGTTTCGAGAGGGGTCTGAAGAGATTTACAGAAGACTCAGGATGCTCAAAGTCTCCTAGCAGAGGAAGTGCCACTACTGCTCAGCTTCTACAGTTTGCTCCCTCTCTCTTGACTCTCTGTCAGTCCCACCCCCTGTGCCTGGTCTACTGAGTCCCCTCCTTGCAGGAGCCTGGCCCACGCTGTCTTGTTGCCTGCATCCATCCTTCCATTCTCCTTCCAAGGGCAGGGAAAGTGTCCCTGGCTCCTGCATCCAGGGTAGAAATCCAGCTCCCTCTTGCTGGTCCAGCCCATGCGCAAGGTGCATGACCAGTGGATACTGTATTAGGAGGGGGCAAGGATGAAGGCTGTGAGAGGCTAAGAGAGTGATAGCTTTCACAACAGCGCATTTCCTAATGGTGATTCCTCCACAGCCTGCAGAAAGGTTTTCCAGGGCCCCTGCAGGTGCACAGCTCCTGCTTGGCTTCCTCTGGCTAGCAGTAGTGCCTCAGTAAAGAGCTAGACCCCAGCCCAACCTTCTCTCACCCTGACCTCCTGATCTGCCTCTGGAAAGTGCAAAGTTCTTTTTTTTCTCCTCTCCCCAGGTCAAGTGAAAATCAACTCACAATGCACAAGTGTTTCTTTTTCCTGGTGTTTATGGTCATCATCCTGCCTTCACTGGGGCTGACCAGGTACTGACCAATCTGCTGTGCTGCTCTCTTTGCTTACCTGCAGGCTAGGGAACATGCACAGGCTCCTTGCCTCCCTACAAATGAGTTTAAAACAGTTCACTTCAGCTGCTATTGAAAAGTAGCTGTGTCTGGTGAGGATCTTGCTCACTCTTTAGCAGTGCCCAGCCACTCCCAGCATCATTACAGACAGAAAACACCACTGTAGAGGGAGTGGGACAGCTGTGGAGCCTGCCAGGCTGCCATGGCCAACTCCAGGGCAATGCGCTGCTGTTTATTTATCTCCAGCAGCCCCATGCAAGTCAGGGAGTCAGTGGTAGAGCCTCTCTGTACTATAGGGGCCAGGCAGGTGAGCATAGGACAACACTCTGCTAGAGCCTTTGCATAGCCACAGCCGTACCAGGTCCTGCTGGCCTGTGAAACCTCCCTGTTGATGGATCCTGAAATAACAGCTGCTTTTGAGCGAACTGGCTCTGTGCATGTAGAAAGGACATGCTTGCTGGATGCTCCCCTCATATTTCTCTGTGCCATCTTTCTAAGCTGCTACTCTTCTCCTCCCTCTAGTTTGGATCTTTTCTTCCGCTGGCTCTTTGACATGCACTTTCTGGATGAGGCTGATATCAAGTTCCAGTGAGTACCAAGGAGCTCCCTGGCTTGCGCTGGTTCACACAGTGCTCTGGGCGAGTGGGGAGAGCCCAGTGCCAGCCCCTGGCTGCCTCCTGCCCTGGTGGCTCTCCCGGCTGCCTGTGTGGCCTCACTCTCTTCCCTCCTTGTCTCTGGGGGCAGGTGCGTTTTCCTCCCTGATAATGGCGCTTTCTTTGTCAACTACATCATCACCTCCAGCCTGACTGGGACGGCCATGGAGCTGCTGCGCATCCCTGGCCTCCTTGTCTACACCACCCGGCTCTGCTTTGCCAAGTCTGAGCCCGAGCGGCTCCACATCAAGCGGGTACGTGGCTCGGGCTGCATCTGCACACATGCAGTCCCCGTGGCATGCCAGAGACATGTTCGGTTGCCAGGGGCTGGCTGTAAATTCAGGCTTTCCTGGTCCTATGGGGAGGCATGGGGGGAAAGGCCATCGTGTAAAGGGTGCTGCTGGACCTTGGCCCTATCCCTATGGGATGAGGTGTGCAGAGGCAACTGTGTGGGTTTGGGGAAGCAAGGCCCGGCTGGGATGCAAAGACTCCCTGCTGTGTGAGGGGCTGAGCTCTGCAGGGCTGGTGAAGAAGTAGTGCCATGCCAGGGGTGTTAGAAGACCAGGGACCAGCTGCTGGCTCCTGTGTGCTCTGCGCAGGACCCACCATCTCTGGGTCTGCTGTCCATCCAGCTTGTCAGCGCCCTAGGGGAGGGACTGAAGGGCCCATCTCCAGCACCCTGGGTGTTCCAGTCACATAAGGTGGGAGCAGGAAGGTAACAGTGCTGTTGGTTGTGCCTCAGAGCCAAGCCTACCAGTTCCAGTTTGGGCTGGAGTACGCCTGGACCTGCTGCATCTTCTCAGTTGTTATGACCTACAGCATCACATGCCCCATCATTGTCCCCTTTGGTGAGTACCAGCCCCACTGCCCCAGGCTGTGCTGAGAACAGCGTGCTCCAGCCACCAAGAACAGTAGGGGAGCACAAGCTTCCTCAGTGCCCAAGGATGCCCCCCTGTGCTGTTTCCTGGGCCTGCCTTGCTCTCCCTGCTCCATGGCTCTCCCCATCATGCTCTTCCCCAAATGTCTCCTGTTTCTCTCTGCCAGGTTTACTCTACATGCTGCTGAAGCACATGGTCGACCGGTACAACATCTACTATGTGTACATCCCCACGAAGCTGAACCAGCGCCTCCATGTAGCTGCCATCAGCCAGGTTGTGGTGGCCCCCATCCTCTGCATGTTCTGGCTGCTCTTCTTCTCCGTCTTGCGCCTCGGTAGGGAGAGGTCGGGGCTGGCTCCCCCCCCACCATTTCTGAGTGTTGCAGGTCTCAAGCTCTACAGAAGAAGCATCAGATAGTATCAGATAGTGCAGACATGAGCTTGAGGCTCAGCCAGATGTGCAGCAAGTCCCAAGGAGCCCTTGGGGGTTCACGTGCTGCCCTTGTGTCTCTGCTCTAGGTCCCACTCGCCCTGTTACCCTCTTCACCTTCGTGGTCCTTCTCTCTTGCATCTTCTTCTCCTTCTTTGGCCTCTGCCTGAAGAAGCTGCAGCCACGGAAACCTTCCAGCTACCAGGTGAGCATGGGCAGCTGCCTGTCCGATTCTCAGGGTAGGGCACAGCTCCTTCCCACATCCCACTTTGTCCCTTTCCCACTCCTCTGGGTAAGTTTTCATGGAGGATCCTGAGGATTCAGTTGCACCCAGACCAGAGGAAGGGCACAGATCACTCCTGCCTCCAGGTTGCTTCTTACCCGCTTGGCTTGGCAGCTGCCTGGAACCCATGTTTTGGTACCCACATGGTCGCTCCCCACCCCTAGAGACCCCAGCACAGGGTCAGTGCTTGCCACACTTGCCAGTCTCACAGTCGCAGGCCCACCAGGGCTGGCAGCTAATCCCTGTCCTAGCTACTGCTCCAGCTCTGATTTGCAGCTGGCCAGCCTTTGCCAGCCACAGGGTAGCAGGCCACATGGCCTGCTTGGCTGAATCCCGGCACCAGCCCTGCAGATGGGCTTCCTGCCCACTACTGGCTGCAGAGGGGAGGCTGCACAGGGTGGTGCCAGGCTCAGTTACTCTGTGCCACTGATTTCCTCCCTGCTTCCCTCTCCCTAGATGTCCGACCAGTCTGACAGCACCTTCAACGACACGGAGCGAAGCAGTGTCTCCTCCACCCCCAACTCCAACGTGAGTACGCGCGCTCTCCCCACTCACCCTCCGAGCCCTGCAGGGACAGCTGTGGCCCAGCCTCAGCCCATGCCCCCCTTGGCCCTGACCCCACTCTGTCTCCCACCGCAGCTCTTTGTGGCCACAGTCCTGCAGGAGCCTGAGCTGACCCTGACGCCAGCGGCCTCCCCGGCGCACCAGTCCTACGGGACCATGGGCAACCACCTGGAGCCAGCGGAGGACGGGGAGGAGGGTTGTCTGCAGAGCTTCGAGACGGAGCTGGAAGCGGTGGAGGGCGAGTACAGGACCGGGCCGGTGATGGAAAGCCAGGCCCGTTACCAATGAGCATCCCCGCCGCCGTGGCGAGTTCCGGCAATGCCTGAGAGCAGAGGATGTGCGGAGAGGGCAGAAAGGAGTCTTCCCCACCAGCCCAGGCTCCCATGCCAACCCTGCTGCTGCCTGGTGGGCACCAGCACCTGTGGGGCCAGTGCCTGCCTGCCTGCCCCAGCTTGCCAACGGGCCCACGCACGGGTGGTACCAGGGGCCTAGGGCCGGAGGGCAGCAGGACTGATGGGCAGGAGAGCGCCTCATCTCGCCCCATCCCAGGCACCCGCGCAAGGCAGCAGGAGCCCATGCACCCCTGCCCTGCAGCCCACCTCCATGGCTCCCTGCCTCTGTTGGGGATGGGGCTCAATGGCCCCGAGCCCTCCTTGCCCCTTCCTTCCTTCCTCCAGCCCTGCGTGGAGCAGAGGGGTGCAGCAGTGGGGGGAGAGGGTCTCTCCTAAAGGCCATGCTTTGAGGGAAGGAGGAAGGCTGGGTCCCTGGCCAGGAGGGAGAGATGGCCTAGACAGCTCAGATGAATGCGTCCAATGGAGAAGCACAGCCCTGCAGGACCCCGGTGCTGCCGGAGCCGGCCGCGCTCAGGTGCAGCTGCCAAACCTTCGCTTCCCACTGTGCCCACTTGCTGCTGTCGCTGCCCTCGGCAGCTCGCCGCTGCCCTTTGGCACCCACTGCAGCCAGTTCCTGCCTACCCACGCGCCAGCTCAGGAGTGCATCCCCCATGCTGCCTGTGAGCTGCACCAAGGCTTTGCCAATTATAAACGGGGGCTTCTGAGACACTTGTGCTTTTGACTGGATGAGCGCACAGGGTTGAACCCTGGGCCCACACAGGGTTGGGTTATCTCTGGCCCGGTCTTCCTGAGCACCAGCGTCCCTTGCTCAAGTCAGACATGAAGCCATAATCCCAGCTCCTCAAAGGCACAGAGACCCCCACACTGCTGCAGCAGCAAGGCACTAATGATGTCCACAGCGTTGGTCTTGTCCACAGTGAGCAACTTGCTTACCCTGCCATCCTTCCCTTCCCTTCCCTTCCCATCCCATCTCATCCCTCTGCAGCTGGAAAGTGCTTGTGCTTTTGAGCCAAGTGTTTGGAGAGATGGGTAAGGTCAAGGGAAGCATGTGTTCAATTACCATGACAGCTACAGCCTTTCCTCCTTAGCACCCATCGTCCTGCTGCCCCCTCGCAGCAGCCCCCTGCATGGTGGTGCTCTCCCCAGGGCTGCTGCAGGACCCCATGTGGCTCCATCCCACTGCCAGAGAAAGGGGGGCTGGTGGGACCCCCACCTCCAGATCCTGGGTCCTGTCTCAGCACCGCATCCTGCCCTTGCTCCTGGCTGTACCTGGGAGGCTCTTCCACAACCATCACCTCCTCTCAAGTGTAAATCCTGGCAGGGCCAGCATGCATGTGCCTGTTGTTGCCTGCATGGGGTCCTTGAGGATTTCTGACTCTTCCTCAGCAGCAGCGTAGGTCCTTTCAGGGGCCAGGGAGCCTTGTCCTATTCAGCCTCTCTTCTGCAAGTGCACCTGAGTGCTTCTAGTTATGTGCTCAGCCTTTGTTTGGCCTCAAGTTGATTTTTCTGCTTTTTCTGATGCAGTATTGCATCAGGGCAGTTTGTGAGCAGAGCCGTGCTGGTTCAGGAGTGTGGGGGTGTTGGCTGCTGAGCTCACAAGCTGATGAGCCAGCTGCTTGAGGCGAGTTTGGCTTCTCGTGAGCTGGATGGTCAGTGCCACTGGACCCCAAGCTCCCAGGGTTTCCCCTTCTTCCAGCCTTCCTAGCCCAGACGTGGATGCAGCTGCAGCTGTGATGCTCTGTGTCCCCTGCATCACTGCCCAGCGGATGAGCTGAAAGGGAGCATTTTGCATTGCATAACTGTTTCTGCCCCTTCCAGCTGGGCATATTCTCTCCTGAGAAGAAACTTGTGCTCAGTCCTTTCCAGCATGCCCAGTCTCTCCCATTCAGCCCAGTACCTGGTAAGCAAAGGCACCCCAAGCTGCTGCTTACTGACCTCGCCATTGCTGAGCCCAGCCTCACAATGTGATCTCCTAACAACAGAGAAATTGCATTTGGTGGCAAGGACCATCTCTGCTCCTCTGCTGACTTCAGAGCAATATTTCAGCCACTATCATCTCCCTCCCTGAGCCATCCAGAGAGGCAAGGGACGCTCCTGCAGCCCCCTCTCACACTGAGGCAACCAGCAAGGGAAATGCTGCAATGCAAAGACAGGGGCTCAACCATTGCAACTTGCATAAAAATTGGGACTAGGAGTAACTGCTTCTGCCCATGCAAGCAGGCCGGCTCAGCAGGTTTGTGGCCCAGTACCTGGGAGGATGGCAGTAGGAGGGACTAAGATGCCAAACACCCCACGGAGACCCTACAGCCTCTGTGCTGTGCTAGGGGAGATGCTGGCACTTCCGACAAGCTCAGACTCCTCTGCGAGGAGCTGCCCACGGCCACCAGTGGGAAATGCAGAAGAAAGCACTGGAAATCATGTCCTTTTCCAAGAGCTGGACACTTTCCCTTGGATGCATCAACATCTGCCTAGGCGCAGGGTGATGCTTGGGCTCTTTGTCCCACATCCACTGCAGTGACCTGGTGAAATGCAGCACCCTCAGGCAAGACTGAGAGCTGAGCTGGTGCCTGTCGCATCAGGCCAGATGGCTCATGACCTTGCCCAGGATGTGGGTGAGCTAAACTTGGTCTTTTGCCTGTCCAGAAGACTTTGTATTCGCTTTACACTGGTGGGGGAGCACCCTGTCCCCCACCCCCGGACCCTGGACACCATGGGAGGCAGTTGCACTGGGG